CCTGGAGAGCAGCTCTGTGGAAAGGGACCTGGGAGTCCTGGTGGTCAACAGGATGACCATGAGCCAGCGATGTGCCCTGGTGGCCAAGAAGGCAAATGGCATCCTGGGGTGCATCAAGAAGAGTGTGGTCAGCAGGTCGAGGGAGGTCATCCTCCCCCTCTACTCTGCCCTGGTGAGGCCATATCTGGAGTACTGTGTCCAGTTCTGGGCTCCTGGTTCAAGAAAGACAGGGATCTGCTGGAGAGGGTCCAGCAAAGGACTACAAAGACGATTAGGGTATTGGAGCATCTTTCTTACAAGGAAAGGCTGAGGTACTGGGGTCTGTTTAGTCCAGAGAAAAGAAGACTGAGGGGGGATCTTATAAATACTTGCAAATACTTAAAGGGAGGGTGCCAGGTAAATGGGAACAATCTTTTTTCAGTGGTGCCCAGTGATAGGACAAGAGGTTAGGGCCACAAACTTGAACATACGACGTTCAATCCAAACATGAGGAGGAACTTCTTTACTTTGAGGGTGGCAGAGCACTGGCACAGGCTGGCCACTCTGTGGAGTTTCCCACTCTGGAGACATTCAAAACCCGCCTGCCCACCGTCCTGTGCAACGTGCTGTCGGTGACCCTGCTCTGGCAGGGGGGTTGGACTACATGATCTCCAGAGGTCCCTTCCAACCCTGGCCATTCTGTGATTCTGTCTAATAGTACCTCTCTTATGGAGATTGCCTACAAAATATTTCAAAGGATGAGAAAAAACCACTGAGCTTCATCTACTGATTTTTGTTACATGTATTTGCAGATCACTTCTTTTTTCCTCCTCCTCGCCTTCTGACAATGCTGAAACATCTCTGGTCTGATAGCAGAAGACTGCTAAGCAATACAGGTCAGAATATTTTTATTAATGAACAGAAAGTTTATGAGGAAGACTTAAAAATGTTGTATGATTAAAAAAATAAAATTAGAGAAGAATTTTCCTGTTTCATTTGGTATAGAATCAGAATTACTTAATTGTCTTCAAATTTAAATTCTTCCATCATAAAGCAAATATGCACATCCCCATGTGAGATGTTTCCCCCATGTATATGATACCTTAATAATTAGGGCACTCCCCATGGCTGAGGGAGATCAAATTCAGTTGCCTCTTATGCCTAAGGAGATACAAACTCTTTGGAGAGTGACACAATCAGAGGATGTAGGCCATTTTGGAGTGGGTGGCTGTGACCTCCTCCTGAAACT